ACAACCGGAAGTGGGTACGTGACTTTGGGAAAACCCTATAACGTTTTGATTATAACTTAAAATTTTATTAATTAAATAAAAACCACATTAAATTTACACATTAAAAATAATCATAAATTCCCCAAAAGGACTTTTTTATTCAACAAAAGGGAATTTTTTTCTGTTTTCAATGAAATTGTGATACATTCGAGGAAACTAGTTAATTTAGAAAGGCTAATTCAATCTATTTATGTAACTATTTCAAAAAACATAATTAACACTTATAAGTTTCTCCAATGATTAAGCATGATGATGATATATTTAAATAACTAAAAATCGGGCGAAATTTTTAGCATCATCCTTTTTGCGTACGTAGTCCTTTTTTTAAAAAACTGCAGTTTGAAAATAAAAGACCTTAATAAATTTTCTAAATTCAGGCGGCAATAGTATCCATGAGGATGTAAAGTATTATATGGTACATTTTTTTTGACATGGCTACGGTTTGGTTTGGTTAATGCACTGATTAAGGAAAGGGATGCCTTTGCATTAAGGGAAACCTCGTATACATTTAGATGGGACTGAAACAGAAACCCATTTTGCTTAGTCAAAAACAGGTCAAATACAGGTTCAGTGATTTATCATTGTTTGACCAAAATCTGACTGACCTGAGCATGAATTAACAAGACCATAATTATATGTGAAGAAATTTCTGTGAAAATCTACACGTTAGTATGCACAAGTATTTTATTTAACTAAATAAATCATTTTTTTACCACCTAAGTTCATAATGCAAATTTTAAATAATTTATACCCATTTTTTTTCAAAAAACCGTTTTTATCTTTAACTGGTTTTATTGAATAAAATTACTTTCCAAGCTCCGTTTCAAGTAAGTCAAGAAAAAGAACAATAAAGATAGTATTGAAAACCTTGCGTTCGGCGGAAAAACTTAGCGCTTTCGATATCTTAAAAATTTGTTAGTTGTGATTCATACAAATAACATTTGTGTGTAAATTTTATATTGATGAGGTTTAAGTACCTACGATTCATTTTGCCTAGCTATTTAATAAAAAAAAAAAAAAAAAAAAAAAAAAAAAACCTCTGTTTGGACTAATATAGGGCCGGAAAGCCAAACTATTTTATTACCCCAGAAGCGCTGGAAATTTCGTAACGATTAAAAGCATTTTTGCTTAATTTATATGAACTGTAAATGTCCCGGTTCACTTTCAAAATTGGATGCATCGCTCCAGTATCGCTTAAACCGGTGGTTGTTCTGTAATTTCTATTAATGAAAATCAAATAATTTAACAATAAAAACAATGCTAAGTGAAAATAGGTCGTGTAAGTAAGGGTGTGATTTGCGCAAAAAGGATACCTAAAGTGAGTCCACATGGATACTGAAATTCTTGCGTCAAGCAGTAACGTTTAATCTTCCCACCGAATATGCCAATTTAGAAGCCTTTAATTAAACAGGGAAAAATATAGAAATCTTGCGCGTACGCTTTCTTACGGATTTCGCATACATTTTTTTGTAAAAACGTTTCACGAAAAGTTTTGATTAACAAATGTTTGGAATGAAATTTCAAAAGAACAGATGCAAAGTACAGTGTATAACGGGTGGAGGAAAAAAATTAAGAAATTCTATTTGCCATTAGCGAGAATGTATATATTCGGGCCCAAGATTCTAAATAAGATAGGCTCATTTAAAAAATTCTATTTTCGAGTGATTGGTGTTGAATTGAATTTTGGTGGTTTAAGAATGGTGCAAAGACATCGTTTTGATGCCTCTATAATAAAGGTAATAAAACGCAAAATGGCATTAAAAAAGTCCCCTTTGTAGTTTTCACAGGATATAGATAAATCTGAAGCAACTGTTCAGATAATTTATTTTCATTATAACGTTAGTTAAATTTTTATAAATTTTTTACTTGATCACTTTTTTGTTGCCACCATTTGATGAAAATTGATACCTGACCTTGTATGTGTTTTAAAATTCGGCCCCAAAAACAATTTTGAACAACGTGGCATAACGATAACACTCAAGGATCAACTGCCCCTGTGAAAAAGAAAAGCTCGCCAAAAATTAAAAAATAGGCAGCTAAAATATTTTGTGATATTACTCTTGAAATGAATTTATGTGGTTTAAGTACGAAGAGTATCATATTTATAAATAAAGTAATATACGAAATGTTAAGAAACCTCTTCTTTAGGCCATAATAATTAAAATCTGAAAGATTTCAGACTTTTTACCCCAGAAGGGCTATTAATTTTATTTTGCCATTTAGCGTTGAAATCTATGTAATGTCGGTTCACTTTTTCAAATTGTTAGCACCAGTAATATTAGAGCTCCTGCGTTATATTTAAAACAATTAAATAATGAAGAATCTGCAGAAATGTATGCATGTTTCTCGCATTGTTATCAAACAACTTTATGTAGAGCCATCTAATTTTGAATAACGTAATCTTCCACCGAATATGGCATTTAGAAGCCTTAATTTGGAATTTGAAATTTGTTTTATTACCGATTTCATATTTTGTAACGCTTTCACGAAATTTTGATTAACAAATTCAATGATTTCAAAACGAACAATGTCAACAGTGTACGGGAGGGAAAAAAAAAGAAATTCTATATCCAGCGCGCGAGAATGTATATATCGGAAATTCTAAAGATAGGCTCATTTAAAAATTATTTTTCGATATTGGTGTTGAATTGAATTTTGTGGTTTAAGTGCAAAGAGTTGATATTTAATAAATAAAGGTAACACACAAAATGTTAAAAAAGTCCCTTTGGACGTGATATAAAATCTGAAAACTTTCAGATTTTGTTTTCATTATATTTTAAATTTTTTATAAATTTTAAACTGATTTTTTGAATTTGATGTATTATAACAACCTTTTCTCAAAATCGGTAAAAGAATCAACGTGGCAATAACATACCATGTCAACTACCCTAACCTGAAACAGAAAAGGTGCCAACAGCAGCTATTTATTGAAATGCTGATGTTAACGAAACATTTCGGATATACAATGACGTCACATGCAGTCGCTTGCATTCTTGAACGTCAGAATATGACGTTACATAATAATAAGATGTTTAATTCTTGGCAATGCAATTTTTTTTTATATTTTACGAAACGTACAAAATTTTAATTAACAAACTATACGATTTGAAGGCGAGCATTTGCAACTCTTTTCGAATAATGCAGATTTTATCTCAAGCGCGCGAAGAGTTTTTTATTAATATCTCGACTGATTCAAGTCGTAGGAAGATGAAAATGGTGGAAATAGCTTCTCACGAATTTTTGGAATCCGGGGATACATCTCTCGAAACTCAACTCTCTGCCGTTCGGAAGGAGATAACGCCGCAAATAGACAGATACACGCGTACAAATATTAATAGTATAGATGATAATTAATTTTAATAGCCAAGGCTGTTTTTTAGTTGCAGATGTGATTTCATTAGCCTAAAAATTATAGCCGTTTGATATAAAAATGCACTTTTAACGTAAAAATTTATAAAAAATGTTATTGGATTATTGTTTGAAGTAGCGGAAAATAGAGGCTAGACGTAACCCTTTCCTGCACGCTACCTTTTAATGTTGGAATTTAGAAAAAAAAAAAAAAAAAAAAAAAAAAAAAAAAAAAAAAAAATAGGCAGTCTAATTAGGCCTGGAGGAGTGCGCAGATAATATTTTGTATAGATAGCACTTACCGTTTTAATTCTGTAGGTGTTTCCGAAGTGGGCTCACTGAGTGAATAAAGCTTCGAAAACAGCGCTAAAGCGAGCATTGCTGGGAAGGGCTAAAACACACAAGATTCGGATTACCGTAGGAGATTTAGCACTACCCAGGTTGCATCGCAGGGAGGCTTGCTACTCTACACCCCCAAATCTTTTTTTGGTTATATGATGGTTACATGCGTATAAATGAAAATTGGTAAATTAGCTACATGATATTTACATTTCATACCTATACTTTCGTCAATTTTTTCTCATGGTGGTACTTTTTGAAGCAAGTGACATCCTTTGAAAGAGTGCAAGGCAACATTCATGTATTTGCACATATACCAGGATCCGCATCGGATTCAGTATCTGAAGACAATCCGTTTTGTACTTTCAGTGCTTCAGAAATAGTCAGCTCTCTCCGATTCATTTGCAAAATAATTAAAATCATAAAAAATAAACTAATATTATATCTACAATTTAGAAAATATAAACTATAAAATAACATTAAATAATCTTCTACAACTCAAAACTATCAAAATGTAGAGCTAACAAAACTTATTTCAACGAAAGCGAAAGGAAAAAAACTGTTCTAGTGAAAAATCAAAGAACTAACTGATAAAACCAATCCTAAATTTCAGAAAATCATTCGAACAATTTCTCAGGTTATAACCCCCCTACCCCGAAAAAAAAAAAAGAAAAACCGGATTGAAATACAGATGTGAACCCACCTTTTCTCTGTGAATGAGCTCACCGAAGAAAATACTGCAGTGAAACAAAGACCCTGTTCTTCGTCTGGTCCTGGTGTTTCAGTGATCCCACTCTGGGCACACCAGATGCTTCTCGTTCGATTTTAGGCAAGATTTCAAGATAAAAATTTAAAACTAGTATATAATAAAGAGATCAGCATACAGCCAAGAAAATATCATAGAAACTTCTTTTCAAACAATTCCTTTTATATCTTAAAAGATCTTTAGATTTTTTTGAAAAATGAGGGTCTTTAAAAATTAAACATAACTAAAATGTATGCACTGGTTTGTGTTGTGCTGACATCTAATATAAATAAAGAAGGTCAAAAGTAACCTATAAAGCCTTTTCCATTTAAATTTTCTGTGTGTACAGAGGACATTTTACACTGTGCCGGAAAGGCTTCAGTGATCCTAATTTTAATGCCATTTAAACTTCGAATGAAGTTTTGAATTTAAACAGATCACTACATAAAAGGTATTAAGACCTATTTAGAAATCAAAAGTCATGAAATGTTAAATTAATAGCAAAAGTTTACTTAGTTAGAAAGAAACATATATGTAAAGATTTATTCTAGATCAAAAAAAGATCATTTCTTAATTTAATTATTGTTTAAAAATTATTGAAATTTGTTATTTTAATTATTTATTAAAAATACAGCTAGACTGTACCATAGGTTTCACAAATAATCTATTAATAAACAATTGATGTCTCCGTTTACATAATGGTATTCATCAAAAAAAGGTTGTACTTAATTTTTTGCAAATTCTTCTTCGTTTCGATTCTCTCCCAGTTGATTTTAACCGCGTGTGGTTCTGGTTTATGGTAAACATCAGGATTTTCTGCCCAGTTCATTGCATCTATCATGTCATCGAACTTAATCTTGCCATCTACTTTGGGGAATTTATAAATAAATGATTTTAGAAGATCTCGGTTTATAGGTACCAGACATGATCGGAATACGAAATACACTCTTTTGGGATCAAGATATCCTGTCTTATCCTCATCTTGTAATCGAAATGCCAATTTTAAGTCTTCGAAATCGTAGTACTTTTTCCAGTATAGTTCTGTTTTGACTCTAGAAATAAGATCATCCAACTTCAACCCGATATCTTCTTCATCCGCGTAATATCGCGCTAAAGTTTTAATGGCATGCTCGGGGTACTTCTCTCGAATTTCTTCAGGCATTTCAGCGTACAGCACGTCCTTAAAATCTTCGTAGGATATAAAGCCTGTATAGTTTGGATCTTTTTCCTGAAACGTGGATTTGAGACTTTCAACCTTTTGCTTCATCCATTCTCTAAACCCCGCCATAATTGTTTTAATATTTGAATACTTGAACTGATTACAATAGTTCTCCATGTAGTTATACGTATATTCATCCGCTTCAAGGAGTTTGAAAGGTCTAGTTCTGACATAAATGACATTTCCGACATACATGTCAGCTGGCTGATAAAAACAGGGCTCAAAATTACTTAAATGGGCATGTGGTTTTGTCACTCGCATTCTCCTGAAGTGCACGTGCTCCATTATACTTGCCCTTTCGAAATCTAAATCCAACGCTCGGATGTCCATTGTATCATCTTCCATGTACCACCGGACAGTGAAACGACGATCTTTTTCCACTGGGTTGTCCGTTACAATGCGAGCAAGAAACTTGAGCTCTCGTACTTCATACGCAAATCTGTCTTTCTCGAAGACTTTCAATAAATGCTCTTCAAGGGGTTTGGGTGTAAATGGATCATTTGTTCTGATGGTCTGTTCTGAAGAACCAAACTCTTCATGTTTGTATACTAATTTGTGAGTTTTGAAAAGGGGTATTTCTGGTCGGGGCACTGGTATTAATTCTTTATTGTAAGTCGCACGGTAATAATTTTTTGTAAATTCATCACAATCATGCAAAACAACTTTAGACCCAAAAATGTTATATTCTACACCTAGGTCGAGATCTTTATCTGTGTAATACTCAACGAATCTTCTTCGGCCTTCTAGCGGATTGGAATCCACTAAGACAGATGTTGGTTTTTGGATTTTATAATACTTTCCCCCAATGAGAACGTTTTCAACATCATGAGCAAGATTCAACAAAGTCGGATCAGCCATTTCACCAATTGGTAAGGCTGGATCAACGTTTTTGGGTACCAGAGTAGGTCTGAGGATCACACGAGTGTCGAATCTGCCATCAATCCATTTATTCTTGCATCTTTCTTCAACGATCTTAATCAAACCATCGGCGAGGTTGTAATACAAAGTAATCTCTCTTTTCTCTTCGAACAGATTTTTTTCTTCTCCATAGTAACCAAAGAAACGAAGTCTTTTTGGATGATTCTTCAAAAAGGGAGCTAATTTATAAGTTTTGCCAGTAGGTTTCCGATATGAACGGAGCTTATTCCTTTCTTCTCTGTCTTCTGTTATTGGATCTATGACGTCCGGTAGGCGTGGTGGCACCTTGTAACCCATTTCAGTAAGAAAGTTTCTAGTGAAGTCATCACAATTTATTAGCTTGTATTCTCTTCCGTTAAGCACCAAAGTTTTACCAATATTGAGATCATCAATACAATAATAAGTTCCGTCTGGTTTCTGAAATCTTCCTTTGGCCACAATACATCCTTGAGGACAACCACTGTTTATTTGTCTTGGCTCATACACTTTGATATCATCATCATCTATATAATACAGAACGTTGCATTTCCTAAATCTCGTAGCCGATTCAGGATCTTCTCCGAGCTTTTCGCAATAATATGCATTAAACTTGAGGATAGGAGAATGAGGTTCTTTATCTATATTTCTGCTCCCCAACAAATGGCTGGCTTTGCTAAGTTTGGGTGCTTTTACACTTTCATCTTCTTCCCATCGCAACCCATTGCGCACGATAAATCTTTGGGGCTTATTATAACTAGTTTTATTTAAGCTACTGGAGGCTGAAAAACCTGGTATTACAGAAAAATCTGCCTCATAAGACATATTTACATAACTTTTAGCTGACAAATTATTATTTTAATTATCGTTTAATATGACAGAAACAGAAGTTTGTTTTCATTATGTTTACTGATCAGATTTGAAGAAGATGCCATATGAAAAATCTTAAATGTTTTCTAGACTTGAAAAGAAACCCGATGAAATTTGTAACATAATACAAGTAAAACAGTTAGCTCTGTTGAATTGATTTAATAAATTACTGTAACTGAAAATGAATTTGAAGTTTAGGACAGCGTTTTAGTTATTCGAAAGCATTATTAGTGCCTTTTAGTTGCATAAAAATCCATTTAAACATGGCAGTACTATTAAAATAGCTAAGAGATTAGTTTGAAAACCAATGAGTGGCAAATGAGAAAAATTATTCTGAAGTATTGGTAACTTTAGAAAATTAGGAATGGCAATAACGAAGTACTATTTTAAACGTATTTTTATCTGCTTCTTTTAAAAATATAGGTGCCGTATTCACGTGTCTTTTTAATGCGGTTTCCTTGAAAGATCTTGTGATGAATATTAGAAAGGATATTTTATTTGATGCAAAACAAGAACGATCAATGAGAAATACCCTAGGACTAACGAATATTTGAAAACAGATAGTTAAACTAGAAAATAGTGTCTGCCCAGAAAATTGATAATATTGTTTCCAAATAGTGAGCTAAAAGACTGATTACCTATAATTAGCTAAACAGAATAAATCTAGAAACCTCTCGATGGGCTTCTTTCACCAGAAGAATGGTGCCAAAGATTATATCCTTTTAGTCTGTCGGAAGTAAAATGATCTAGGAAGATTTTTGGATACAATACGGTGCTCCGGAACAGATGTTATTATTATGCCAATTATCTAAGACGTGGATGAAAGCTCTTGAGGAATTTTTAATGAAGTCTATCCATTTCAAAATATTAAAAATATTGTGACAACTCTTTATTCAGCAAAAGCTGCGAATTCAATTTGCTTTTTCCAAGAAAAAGCCAGAGAAGAAAAAAATATATTATAAATTCAAAGAAGGTATATAGAGATCACTTGAGGCAGTGTTGATAGTGTTTGATTTTAGCCTGCATAAGAAGCTCTGATTGTGATAATTATTTCAAAGCTGCAAATCAATGCTTGCAAATTTTCTTCCTGTAGTAAATTACTAGTTATATTAATTATCACTTATGAAGGTTTGGTTTAATCCTAGTATACGATACACACGGGATTTGGCGAGTTTTGCCGACAGTATGACGAGCAGTAAACGCGATATTTATGATGAGCAGTAAACGAGCCATTTTGGTGTTGGCGACAATTTTAAAAATGGTGCCAAGGTCATATCGTATACTAGGATTTTACCGAAGACTTAAGAAGATGAATATCAACTTGATGTGAATAAATTGTGAATTTTATGTCAACGACGAAGCTTTTATCGGCTAAAATTTCATAAGCGGGGTAAGTTGGTGCCAAACTGTTTTGGTCTTCAAAATTTGGCGAATTTTTTAGGCGGCAATGAAAGTACTAAAACGTGATTTTTAAATGTCAATAGAATAGTAACTTTTAAGTTTTGCAGTAGTGAAACGCCGTTATTTTATGTAAACAGAATAGTAAAATGAGATGATAAAATACTAGATGAGTAAAGCAATGTCCAACAGCTTTGCAAGTAAAAGCATAGTCCTTCATCATAAAGTAGTAGAATGAACAATTCTTGTAAATAATTATTGAGTAAATAAATGTATACACTTATCAGATCAGAACACTGCGAAATCAGTTTTAAACGTAAAAAGAATAGCAAACTATGCGTATTCAGCATTATAAAACTAACTAAAATATTCAAGTTACTATCGTCGTGGAATTCAACACACTAAACAACTTTCGTTCAAAGCTTTAAATATTCCACATCTTTCGATTGCCACATGCAAGAAACAAAACTAAAAAAAAATTAACTAAATAAAATTAAATGAAAACATTCATAAATTATAAACTTCATGTCATATGAAATCCAACATTATCCCACCAACAACAGCTTAACCTTCTGCAAATATTTATATAAATATAATATTAAACATATATATAACGATAATATTAAACAGTAAAACTTTTAAAAACAGACACAGTATTTCAAAATTAAATTTTTTAAAAAATCTGGCTACACTAAATTCGCGCTCTTACAGTTACCGAAATAAAGCTCTAGGTTTGCCACAAGAAAACATATAACCGGAAACCACAACCAAATTAAAATCGCGCCAAATAAAAAACTCTCGCCAAGCTTGGCGCTCACACCGATTATGGAATTTTAACCCTTTTATCTAATTTAATTAAAGATCTAAATACAAGCATACATGGAGTTATACTTGGAAATCTTTCCCGTAAAACATCCTTATATTTATGGGGTTCAATGAAATTGTTTTCTGTAATAAGTTTTGAGAAAGTGATCTCAAAACCTATTACAGAAAACATTTTTCCTTCGTCGACCAGTAGTCTTAGTGCATTCCATTACGATAAAAGTTATGGTGTGGTGTGGTGTATTTAATTATGGCAAAGCACACTAGGGCTATCTGCCTAAGCGAAGGGATGCCTTCGTGGAGGACTTTCTAAGGGAGTCTGGTTCGTATGCACGTTACACATGGGGAAAACCACGAAAACACCCATGCAGCCAGCTCGTTCGCGGGATTCGAACCTCGGACCGAGCTACCAGTGTTCAGCGACTTTACCACTCGGCCGCTGGTAACATTCCACCAATTATTTCAACTGCAGCATGGAAGTATGCATCGCCGTTATTGTAAAAATTATCTTTCCATTTGGAATCTAAAAATTGCTTATAAATGTATTCCCAACAAAGCCATGAACAGTTATTTCTTAATCGGACAGAAACAAAACGAAATTCTAAAAGAAGTGCAAACTGTGTAATTTTAGTCAACGGATGCTCAATTCTTAATTATTACTTTCGAGAGATACTTTGCTACATAACACATTTGTACCCGAAAAGAATTTGGAAACAGTTCATTTACTGAATCCTGAAAGTAAATGAATCTCATAAAGTTTATTTCTAGTCATTAACCAGTTTTTTAGAAACTGATTCTGTTGTATTCAAGTAGTTCCAGTTCTTATGTACAAGATTTCACTTCATTAGAGAAAGTAAAAACTTTCACTCCGTCAGAGAATGCTCAATAGTTAGCAAGGAAAAGCTGTTATTAAATAAATACAGAAAATGTGGTACTTTTCCGCAATGCACCTGCCACGCATTTTGTCTGTGTGTGCATAATGGAAATGTACCGTGTATGTATGTGTGCGTGACGGAAAAGTACCACGTGAGTATGTGTGTATGCCACTTATAAACTATTCTTATAACTGTAACTTATTTACAATTAATAAATCCGCCAAAATGCGTGATAAGTCCAAAACCGAGAACGCGTTTATTCTAATAGATAATGATTCGTCAATGAACATTAACTCTCATTAAAATTTTTAAAAATACCAATGTTACTTTTCTTCCACATTATTATTGGAAATTGCAACGCAGAAGCCTAGGTTTTAAACTCTAGTTAAAGCTAATGTCGGTGGGATAATTTTTACTGTAAAACATCTTAAATGGGCGAAATATTTTAGACCTGTCTTCGCCAGAGAATATTGTCAGATAGGCATGATAGCTATTTTCAAGAATCTTATTCAAATTCCAACATCTTTGCTATTAAATAATGAAGAATCTGCATGAAAATATGTATGTTTGTATGATTTTCACATTGTGGAAAAACGGCGACCCACCAGAATTTGAAAACACATAATCCTCCACCCAAACTTGTGCACTTCTAAACCCAAATTTTGAATTTCGAATTATTTTTTATTTATTGCATAATTTGCAAGAATTTAACGAAATGTTGATTAAAAACAACGATTTAAAATCTCTGTGCTGCCACTCTGCGAAGAGTAAGGTATTTGTTTCAAAATTAATAAGAAAACTCAGTGCAATTAAAAAAAATATGAAAAGTTTCAGATTTTAATGGTTCTCCAAAAGAGTTTGTTAAGGTTTTTTACGTTCTCGCTGATCTCGCAGTCTACCAGAACGTTACTGCACTCAAACCTTCAAACCTGCTACCCTCTTTTTTACTGTTTAGCTTTGTTATTAAGTAACATTATCTTCGCACTTACGTCATATGCAATTAACAACAAAATCACAAAAATTTTAAAAGCAGCATAGCAGCATATAATTTAGTTTAATAACCAGATATAATTATTGCTGCTATGCTGCTGTTTAGTGGGTAAATGCTTTATTTAGTTCATCTGAACTTAGCAGCTAAAGAAGCTAGTTCAAAAACTATCGAAACTAGTACTGCAAAAAATTTAAAAAATTTACACTGATTCTTAATGTTGGACTTTGTTTTTGATAGCAGCATAGGTTTATAATTTCCGAAACAGTGCTAAAAGTATTAGCACACATTTTCAGTTCATATTTTTGATTCAATATTCAGTTTTCTTAGTAAGATAGCTAAAAAAAATTTATTTTTTGTCTTTTTATCATTAACGTTTTGTGTGTTAATTTTATTTGCTCAATAATACGTTCTTCGCCCTTACACCACATAAAATTCTATTCAACAACAAAATCACAAAATAGATATTTAAAGACAGTATATCTCTAGAAATCTCGACCGACAATCTCGCGTGTTGGAGATAAAAATGTTTTATTCCGCAGAGTGCTGCCGCTGCTCGCTTTCAGATCGTTGAGTTTACTAATCAATAATTCAAAACACACACACACAAACACGCACACACACACACAAAAAAAAAAAAAAAAAAAAAAAAAAACTGAAAGTTCTCAGATTTTATGGTACGCCCAAAGGGCGTTTTTTTTTAACGTTACATCTTTATTTATTAAACATCACGTTCTTCACACTTAAACCGTAGAATTCAATTCAACAGCAATATCACAAGATAATTTAAAAAGAACATATCTCTAGAATTTCCGATACGTGCTGGAGATAAAGATTATATATATATATATATATGTAGAGAGAGAGAGAGTTTATATATATATATATATATACAGTGTTGCTATTGCTAGTTTTGAAATCGTTGAGTCTGTTAATCAAAAATTCGTTAAAGGTTATAAAATATGAAAAAGACAACTCTACCCGAAGAGACGGCTCCTAACTTAAGCTGTCCTCTAGGACAACAA